TTTTTTTTTTTTTTTTTTTTTTGGCCCTTCCTGTAATACGTGTCAATTGGAGAATTAGTTTATATATTTACACGTATGTATATATTCACTAACTTTAATTTGATATTTCATAGTTAATTTTTTTTATTGAAATGGGTCAATAAAAATTAATCAAACATGATGAAATGAAATCGCCCAATTCATATCAATCATTTTCAACAGCACAGTGCATGTGAATCTGACCCTCAGCCCCATTGTTGACCCCGATCCAGCCCATCTTTTCCATGGCTAACCGAAGGTGGGCGAAGAAATTCTAGATGGAGCTGTTGAGCTAGTCGGTGTTGGATGATAAAAGTCTCATGTCGGCTAATTTAAGAAATGATCCTAGGTTTATAAACAAAAAATACTCTCTCCATTAGCATGAGGCCTCTTGAAAAGCCCAAAGTAAATACATGAGAGTTTATGTTCAAAGTAGACAATATCATGATGAAGGCCATGCATGGTGACTTTTAAAAGAATTAACTTGGAGCATAGTCAAGTGGTACTTAACATGAACAAAATCAAGTTTAGTTCTCGCTCGAAGCAAAATGAAGTCTTTAAGATCAAGACCCTGGTTGGCGAACAGTCGTCGGAGAGTTGATAAGTTGAGACGGCGGATAAATATTCATCGAAGCTTTCAAGAATTTTGAGATTAAACGGTCTTTTCTTCCCGTGAGAACCCTCCATATTGGACCACCCAACGTCACCATACTTACCCATTTCCATGTATAATCTATCTAAAAAATATAAAATATCTCCTTCGAATAGATAATAAAAACTCAACCTTATAACAAAGTATCTCTACATCATCTTGTTCGATGATGAAAGTCCCACATCGGCTAAATGATCATGAACTTATAATCAAATAATATTCTCTTCATTAGAATGAGGTATTTTGAGGAAACCCAAAACAAAGTTATGAGCTCAAAGTGGATAATATTATATAATCGTGGAGAGTTGTGTTCATCTAACACATCTAATCGTACTATTGTGAAGAGTCGTGTTCATCTAACACATCTAATCGTACCATTGTGGAGAGTTGTGTTCATCTAACACATCTTTGTTCATCTAACCCATCTAATTCATTTGCCTTCATAAAATATTGTTTTAATTATTTTTACTTCTAAAATGATAAATATTTAAAATTAAGAATAACCTAAAAAATGTTAATTTAAATTTAAATTTAAAATTAATTTCCATATAAAATTTTACTGATTTTAGAAACAAATATATATATATATAATCAATTAACGTTATCAACTGGCATTTATTTATTTATTTTTCATATGGAGGATGAAAAGAAACCAAAGATTATTGGAAGAAATTATCAGTATTTGTATTTTATTTAGAAGCGTTTCTCGTTTTTGCTCCCATCATCACAAGAATCGATCTGCTGTCAGTTGGAATCGATCACGCTCTTCAAAAGAATGGAGCACCGTTTCTGCATGAATTCGAACAATAAATCTTCACTTTCCACAAGGAATTCACCAAAATTTATACAACAATGGAGATTTTCGTAGTCACACTGGGACATGAATTCGCCATAGAAATAAGCAATCAAGAACGAGTTCTTGAAATCAAGAGAAAAATCGAACAGTTCATCGGCATCCCCATCCAATCCCAGACTCTCTCTGTTTACGGTTGCGAATTAGTCGACGGACTCGACATGGAGGATTATCAATTCATCTCAGAAGGTTCGCGAATCGATCTCTCAATCGACCAGATCATCGCACCGCCAAACAACTTTCCCATCTCCGTCGAATTCTCCGGCCGACAAATAAACATCGACATCGACAAAACAGAGACGGTTCACAGTTTAAAGCAGAAAATCCAGATAATCTACGGCACACCGATTCAATCAATGTCTTTATTTCACTCCGGCGTGGAATTAGGTGAAGATTACCGGAATCTGAGCGAATTCGGAATCAGTGAATCTTCGGAAGTCACCGTGTTTCTTAAAACAACGAGTCGTTTGAGCGATTGTCCATGGAGGAAGGTAAGTTTCGTGGTGAAGACGTCGTCGAGCTTGCTTAATGCAGCGTGTATTCCGATGGAAATGAAGGATTCGAGCACCGTCGGCGACGTCAGAGAATTGCTTTTGGCCGGAAAAATTCTTCCCGACGACGATTATCTGTTTATCCACAAACAGAGGATTATGAGAGATAAGTGTAGTTTAAGATGGCATGGAGTTCAAAACGGCGATTTTCTCTACGTTTTTAAAGGCACCGTTAGCTGTGGTGAATTCTGATCGCTATTGATAAGAAAAAATCGCCGTATTACATGAGATCGCAAAATTAAAATAATAAAATAATAAAAATTCTATATTTATATTTTGTGTGAAAAAAGAAAATTAGTTGATTAGTGATTTTATTCTTTATTCCATAAATAGAAAATATTAAATTAATGATTTTATCCATAACAAGAAATACTCCAATATTATTTATTTATTTATTAAAATATCGATAATTTATTTAAAAGGAATTGAACTTGTGAGTTTTCCCATTTATATATTTAACTTAAATAGTTAAAAAAAAAATTTTGAATTTGAAAATGAAGCAATTAATTGTTGAATGGAAGAGATTTTTAAAAATTTTAAAATAAAATGAAATGAAACAATATGGTCGTCGGGGATGAAGATGAGACGATGATAAGGGAGGTTCTGCTGAGCAGTGATCTGGGTTCTAAGATCAAGAATGTTGGCATGGTCTTCATCGTGAAATTGAGCTCTTGAGATAGACTTTCTACCAATATTGAATGATAAATTTAAATTAAAACAATATAAATTATTTTTATTTGAAATAATGATAAATTAAATTTTAAAATACATGATTATGATATTTAAAGTGGGGCCATATGATATATTAATTATTTATTTTATGGATAATTAAATCGATTATTAATTACAATTATTTGCATTAAACAAATTGGAAATTCCCGCGAAATTCAGGAAAATTGGTGAACATTTTTGGCGTTGACCAAGTGGTCAATTAGGATTAGTTGGGACCCGTTAAAAAGGCGTTAAAGTGTGAGCGATCGTAGAGAATTACCGCTCTCGCTATATCCTATCCGATGCCAGTGTAATTTACGGGCAGTGAAGGTCTTAAACCAGATAAAAAAAGAAAGCAAGCGACGTCGTTTTAGCAACAACCATGGACCGTCGGATAAACTACGAAATTTTATCTCCACCGTAAAAAAATAAATAGGAGAAAAACCAAAACCGACTGTAATCGATATAATAGAGCTTTGTGTGGCTTGCATAATTTCTCTCTCGCATTAAAACTTCATTGACCTTGAAACCTTGGTGTTTCAGGTCTCTTCGTCTTTGGATTCACAGCTTTTTCTCCCGGTAAATTTTTGTTCATCTCTGTTTCTTTCATGTTAATCGATGCATAATTTTCTTTTCCGTTTCTTTCTTTATTTATTTCTTCTCGAGCATTTTCGATTTATCTATCTGGGTTAGGGTTTCTTTTTCTGCGTGTATTTTCTTTTTTTTTTTTGTGCCCGGATCGAAGCGCTAGATCTGTTAGTGTTTTGGGATGTAAAAGTTTCGTTGTTTGATTGTTATTCTCTCTGATCAAGCGTGTTTCAGTCTTTTAATTAACTGATCCCAATATTTGAATCCCGAGTCTACTCTCTCTCCCCGTTGCGGCTGCTTTGATATTGTGTCTCTATTTTTTGTTTGGGGGGTGGGGGTCTGTGTTCTTGGAAAGATATTGACATGATAACTGCTATCTAATTTAAAGAAACAAAAGATATATGATTTATGTTCCAAAGACAGAGTTGGTTCTTTCGTTCGTGGAGAAAAAGCAGATAGATACTATCCTTTCATAATTGTTTGATCCCGTTGAAGAATATTTGGTTGTCTAATTGTTCGGCCATGGGTTTGGAGAAACAGAATGTGTAATTGTAAAAAAAAAAAAAAAAAAAAAAACCC